TTGTTAGTGTCAGTTACTATTTTGTTACATCACACAGTAGACTCACTCCCGCTCGAGCCGCCTCCACTGCACCGCACCCCGGCGTCCTCGCTGTGCCCGCAGTTGTGGGAGCCCCATCCGTTGTGCCTGCAGCTACCGAGGTTTGACTCGGAGCCACTGCAGTGCACGTCGTCCATCCAGATCTGGCCGGACCCCTGCCCAAAGCCGGCATACATTACGGCCTGCGTAGCGCTGCCGAGCCCCAGCTGACGGCACACGACGTTGGCGTCGTTCATGTCCCAGTGGTCGTCACAGACCGTCCCCCACCGCCCTTGGTAGAGCACCTCCACCCTGCCGTAGTTACTCCCGCCCACCAGTCGGAGGGACACCGAGGGACTTTGTGCTGAAGCAATGGAGAAAGAATTGATGTGATGTGATTTGATTTATTTGCGTGCGTGTATTACCTTCGCCAAGAAGGTTATGTTTTCAGAGGCGTTCGTGTATGTGTGTGTGTGTGTGTATGTGCGTGTGTGTGTGTGTGTGTGTGTGTGTGTGTGTGTGTCCGTATGTGGACACGATAACTTGAGAAGGCTTAAATGGATTGTCTTGATACCCTTGTAGGTGGGTAGGTCTTGATGAGACCTGGAAAATGATTAGATTTTGGAACCCCTAGCGGCTTGTTGAAATTGTAACAATACAATACACGTCGGACACGGGCAGCTGTTGCTGGTGTTGTGTCCCACACATACAGATCTAGATAAAAAGAATTCAGTGGTTTCGCCACACGACCCCACATTTTTTAATAACGTCAACAACAGATATAGTTGATATGCATGTTGTCTACTCACCCGTGCAGCTCGTTGCGCCTGTGGTGCTGGTGTATCCAGAGGGGCAGGGGGTACAACTGATGGTGCCCTGGGACGGACTGTACTGCCCTGCGGGACAGCGTGTACAGCTGGTGGAACCGGGGGAGGAACTGTACTGTCCTGCTGGGCAGTAAGCACAGCTGGTGGAGCCCTGGGACGAAGTGTACGTGCCAGCCTGGCAGGGAGTACAGGCCGAGCTACCAGCGCGGCTATACCGTCCGGCTGGGCAGCGGGTACAGCCGGTGGAACGGGGGGACCCAGTGTACCATCCCGCTGAACAGGCAGTACATCTGGTAGACCCCGTGGAGGAAGTGTACCAGCCCGCGGCACAGGAAGCGCAGGTGGTGGAGCCCTGGGCCCCAGTGAAGGTGCCAGCCGGACACCGTGTACAGGACGTGCTGCCAGCAGTGCTGTAATGAATGATTGAATGAACTAGTTAACATTTGCAAAGCAATTTGTGCATAATGTTTACCTTCGGACATGGTCTGCCCTGTTAATTTTTACTCAAACACATTCACATACATGTACTATGAGTATATGGTGACAGGAGTAGAGCAGACTATGAAATTGCAACATTATGTAACCCAATACCAGTCACCATGGTGACAGACGTCAACAAATCATGTCATTGGCCAGGTCAGAGGTTAGTGTTTGGAACAGAAGAGGAATAAATTGAGTAAAAACAATATGTTTTCCTTCGGTAAACATAATGAATGTTTATTCAAGTGCCATTGCGACCATTCGTCGCCCAGCCCGTATAGGCTTATAAGACACCGACAGTTATAAAATCATAACAACTCAAAAGGTACAGAGAGTCAGAATCAGATATACCATAAATTATAACTTAACATAATATATAAGTAAATAAATACAGGAAATTAAGTAGTACTGGTCATAATGCAGAAATCAAATCAAATGTAACATAGGTGATAAATAATAATAATTTAGGTTCAACCAAAATTGATAATGCATAAAAGTAACAAGAGGTAACTGTAACATGACTGGTACATACACAGAACCAACTTAACAGAAAAGTGAACAGGTAAAACGTAACACGGAAAGAGGAGAACCAAACTGAAAAAAATACATTCACATACATGTGCTACTAGTATATGGTGATATGAGCAGAGCAGAGCAGTCCATGAAATTGCAACATTATGTAACCCAAAACCAGTCACCATGGTGACAGACGTCAACAAATCATGTCATTGGCCAGAGGTTAGTGTTTGGAACAGAAGAGGAGGAAGAAACCGAGTAAAACGAAATAAGATTAACCTAAAATGTCCAACTTGACAGATCCGGCAGCTTGTTTGACCCGGGGAGTTGCTGTACCGTCCCGCAGGGCACTGGGTGCAGCTAGCGGATCCGCTCTGGGTGCCGTACTGTCCCGCGGGACAGCGCTGGCAGGAGGAGCTACCAGCTGTGCTGAAATGTCCCGCCGGGCACCGCTGACAGGACGAGCTGCCGGGGCCGCTAAACTGTCCCGCGGGACAGACCTGGCAACTGGTGGAGCCCGCGGAGTTGCTATACCTGTAACAGTGGGAGGGGGGTTTATAGGCCTTCAGGCTGATGACACGGAAAAGGTGATGCAGGACAGAAGCTATAGGGCAGCCATTGTGGTTCGGGTGGCAGAGGAGGACTGCATGGCACCCGACTTAAGTCAAGTAAGTCAAGTCTCTGAATATAACAAGTCTCTCCATACAGTCACTTACACATTACCATAATTATAATAGTCATAACGGTCACTACGGTGCCCATTTTAGAGGCATTATGTTAATCTTGTCTTTTTAAGTTAGTTATTTACTATAATAATAGATAGTAGTATTTTAGCTACTCAATCCTTTTGCTGTACTTTATATTCCTGTATGTATGTGATATGGGCCAAGTGCCTGAAATAAAGTTTAAATAAAATAAAAAATAGCCGTTACATACCGTCCCGCTGGGCAGGTGCTGCAGGCGGTGGCGCCCTGGGACGAACTGAAGAAGCCCGGCAGGCAACTCTGGCAGGCGCTGGACCCTGCGGACGGCGCGAACGTGCCGGCGTTACAGAGCTGGCAGCCGGTCTGCCCGTCCGGGAAGCTGAACCGCCCCGCCGGGCAAGCCTGGCAGCCGGTGGACCCAGGCGAGGTGCTATACGTGCCCGGTGGACAGGAGTCGCAGACCTGTATGATTTACAGTATCATTATTATCATGATTTATTATTTGCTATTTTGATCCCATGTATCTAACCTGGGACCAGAGTCCAACGCTTTAACTGTTGCACCACCGACGCCACTAGGTTACCGGTTATGCGAAACAAACAAACAAACAAACAAACAAACAAACAAACAAACAAACAAACAAACAAACAAACAAACCTGCATCCCAGGCTGGTTGTTGTAGCGTCCTGACGGACACGCTTTTAATCGTATTTTAAATGTAGAGAGCACTTCGTATGTTCTTTTAATTTTTTTTCAACAGATTTCATGTCGCGATTCCCGCGTACGTGCCAGTTGATTGAATTAAACTGAAACTGACCTGCGCCCCAGGCTGGTTGTTGTAGCTTCTCTATGCTGATTTTGTTTAAAGTTTGTCATAATTTCAGCATAATTTTGTATGTTTTATTTATTATCATTATTGCTAAAAGTAATTATTATTATTGTTGTTTTATGTTACTGGACTCCAGGAAGAATAATAATTGAATTTACCATTATGATACTAATGGAGAATTTACCATACTAATGGAGATATCAATAAACAAACAAATAAACAAACACACAAACAAACAAACATGCTACCATACTACCGTACCATACTAATGGAGAATTTACCATACTAATGGAGATATCAATAAACAAACAAACAAACAAACAAACCTGCGCCCCAGGCTGGTTGTTGTAGCTGCCGGCCGGACACTGCTGACAGGCTGAGCTGCCGGCGGTGCTGAACTTCCCCGGTTCGCAGCGCTGGCAGCGGGTAGACCCCGGGGCGGAACTGTGCTGTCCCGCCGGGCAGGCGGTGCACTGGGCGGACCCAGTCTGGGCGGCGAACTGATGGGGATGATAAATGTTAGCATGAAAGTTTTTATTTTATTTTATATTCCAACATGTAATCACAAGACGTGGTGACTGCACACTCACGTTTTTTCAACCTCTTGGTTCCGAGTCGAGCACTCTACCGCTACGCCACACAACCCCACAAGCATAAAGGTTCATCTGTGCTGGTATACTTCATTATGACAAAAAGGGCTAAACGTTCTTGTTAACACTCTCGCATCATGAGGTATATGTACAAAAAGCTGATTTGTACAATCATCATGTTACATGTAGCAACAAAAAAAACCATTACATACAAAACAGATTAAAATACAAGCAAAGCTATACAGAACGCCTCGCCATGGGCGCTAAAGTAAACAAGAACGTCCTAGAACAGTCTTACTGGATAGACTTGTTCTACAGACGTATGGCAGGTATCGCTATGATTTCGTATTACGGTAGTTAAAGTTCAGATCTTACGAATGTATAATTGTTTTAATATACCGCCTTTTATTGTAATTTGATGATACCAAATGTTTGTTTCATTTTCGAACTTTCATTTTAGAATCTTGGAGTACTGAGATTGTAACGGTACCTGTCCAGCCGGGCAAGGCTGACAGCTGGTGGCCCCAGGAGTAGGGTTGAAGTGTCCCAAGAGACACTCGCTGCAGCTGGTGGAGCCGACCTGGGCGCTGAAGGTTCCGGCCGCGCAAGGCTGGCAGGGGAGGCCATTGTCGCTAAACTCTCCGGCAGGACAGGCTGGGGGAAATGACATATGCAGCAAGTTTAAACTGTAATTTCCAACACAAGAAATTGGACTCACCCAAATTTTCGACTGAACAACTCCAGTCTTTGTCAAGGAATGAGCAATCCACCGCTTCCGTGACGTCACGCAGATAACACACGTGACTCCGTGAGCAGTGGATCATAGGTTGCAGAAAGTCTGTGACATCCCCCGTCTCTGTTGAGGGATGGTTATGATGCCACAGTCGAAAATTTGTGTGAGTCGAAAATTTGGGTGAGTCCAATTTCTTGTGTTGGAAATTACAGTTTAAACTTGCTGCATAATGACTTCTACCAACACAGATGAACTTTAAAGATAGGAATGACATATATACAGAATCGATGATACGCCCAAAAAGCAGTTACAAAGGTACATGATAGTACTAGAGGTGACACTCTAGCCTCCTGTGCAGGCTCTGACACGGATGGGAATTTTGATACAGCGATTTGTAGAGTTTTTAACGCGTTACTTAAATAGCCAGCCATCCTATATAGCCACCGAGAGAAGGTTCCGTTCCCACCGTCAAATGGAACCTTCTCTCGCGGCTGGTTGAAGGATGGCCGGCTATTAAAATAACGCGTTAAAAACTCTTCAAAACGCTGTATCAAAATCCCCATCCGCCTCAGAGCCTGCACAGGAGACTAGTAATACTCTTGCTTTGTTGATTGACACATGCGTTTGTTTGCATGAACCTCTGCCAAGGTGATGCAGTAATTAGTTCAGCAGCGCTTTTCATTACATTTGGCAGGACGTGATTAAAAACCTATTCAGCAGATAATTACTTTTTTGGTCCCCAGCGGCTTCGTTCAGTGGCAGGTTTTCTTATACTTTCTATGAACATGTTTTAGAGTCATTTCTTCATTAAATAAGTACATGTAATAGTACTAGGGGAATTTGACCGAAGAGATATAGATCCTAGATCCCACCAGCTTTTTGTAGAGAGGACTTCTCTTTTGTTAGTGAGTTTAAATGCAAGATGTCAATGCATGCTTCTTTGCTTGACTATAAATTTGGCTAAGGCGTGTTCAGATTCGTCGTAGGGCGTACGATTTTGATGCAGTAAGATTTGTCATTAGGCTGTAAAATGTTGAACTTTATTCTAACAGTAGAACCACACAGAGATCAAACTGTCCACGACGGTGACCACTGTCGCCTTCGTTGGTCTAACTAATGACCAATCGCTTCCGAACGTAACCTCGCGAGAGTTACGGTGACTTCTTCACACGACAAGTCAGCAATTGATCAAACGTGCCAGGGAGTTGATATCATCTACCGTCTGGAGTGGCCTGATATATATGGCATAGACGCTTTATGGTCGTTGCAAATTTGATGTCCTGTGTTGGAATAAAGTTCAACATTCTACTATGATTACTACCAACACAGATGGAGTTTCATAATAACTGAAGAATGTTATAATAACTGAAGAATGTTATAATAACTGAAGAATGTTATAATAACTGAAGAATGTTATAATAACTGAAGAATGTTATAATAACTGAAGAATGTTATAATAACTGAAGAATGTTATAATAACTGAAGAATGTTATAATAACTGAAGAACGTTACCTGGGGCGAACTGTGCCCGACGTGACAGGGAGAACTGGTTGGCGCTCGCGATCATCTGCCTGGTCTGGTCAATCTGCGTCTTCAGGTCCACCATCAGACCTAGTGGATTTCAAACATGGGAAGTTAGAACCCTTCTTAGGAAGACGAAATCTAGACATATGTAGCCTGGATGCCAAACTGTCGCCAGGGCCAGTATACAGCCTAGCCTGGATGCCAGACTGTCGCCAGGGCCAGTATACAGCCTAGCCTGGATGCCAGACTGTATGTTGCCAGGGCCAGTACACAGGCTAGCCTGGGTGCCAGACTGTATGTTGCCAGGGCCAGTATACAGACTAGCCTGGGTGCCAGACTGTCGCCTAGAAATTGGCCAGAAATTGCCTCTCTAGCAAATGCCATCATGTTCTCCAAGAACAGATTAAAGGAGTCCAATACGTACATTTCTTTGACATGATGTAAGTTTTCAGACGCACTAAAAACAATAAGGTGCATGGACGTCCGGACATACTGACTTTTCAACTCGGCCGCTCCTAGCCTGTTTATTGCCTCTGAGAACATTCTGGCATCCAGGCTAAAAAATACATGACATTTCCTGGGCCAGAAAGTGCTATAGCTTCCCTAAGCTTCCCTAGCGATTGTTTTCATGTTTTTAAAGGTTGCATTAAAGGAGTCCATTACATTTCTTAGTGCTTACAACATAATAATGTAAGTTTTCAGTAGCACTACAAACGATTAGGTGGACATACTTACCTGACAGCTGGTTGGCTTGTAGCGAGGTGAGCCCGTCCACACGCGGAGTCTGCCACAGGAAGGCGACACACAGGAGAACGGCGGTGACGCTGTACGCACAGCGAACCATGGTGATCGTTGCTTGTCTAAGACTAAGAATAAGAAAGACAACAACTATTAGGGGGCTGTTGGATCCAGAACCGTGCTTTATCCAGATCCAAGCTCAGGCACGGTTCTGGATAGTCCACGCGTATCCAGAACCGTGCCTGGCGCAAATTTATGTTCTTTGATACGCGGTTGGGAAGCCTAACTCATGCTGGCATAGGACTAGATAGGTACAGACTAAGACTAAGAATAAGAAAGACAACAACAATTCGAGGCTATATAAAGTCGAGAGGATTCATTCCTCAGCTAACCGACATCTTGCGACAATTTAATAGGGGTCTGTTGTTAGCCTCTACCAGGCACCGCGGATCGCTGGAAAAATAGTAGGCCGAAATAAAGGGGTAGTACTAGTATACCAGGGGAATTAGCCGGCCAGAGAAGATCCAATTTGCGACTTGGGTATGTACGTGTCCCTTTATTTCGGCCAATCTCTACTGTTTTTCCAGCGATCCGCGGTGCTCGGTAGAGGCTAGGCTGTTTTATCCAGAACCGTGTTTTCCCCAGGACCATGCTCAGGCACGGTTCTGGATAGTATCCAGAACCGTACGTGGTGCCTGGGGCAAATTTACGTTCTTGCATACGCGGAGACTGTCCAGAACTGTGGCTGTTCCTAACCCGAAATCTTTCAGGCATATACATGTATGTAGAACACGGTTCTGGATACGATAGGGACTTTCTGGTTAGATTTCTAGAATTCCTGACTGTGCGTTGCGTTGCTTCCTTTGGAAAGGCACACAACTTTCCCCTCTCCACTCACGACATGGGTTGCGGAGGTAAAAAAAGTAAAAGGAAAGACTCGGCCTGCCAAAACTGTGTCCAAAACGTAGAGGATTCAGGCCCCACTACCCCTCAACAAGGACGGCCTAAGATCGCTTGGCGAAGAACAGTTGCAAAAGAACTGCAGACAACCACAATTGGGATTAGCATACATAACGGCCCAGGACAGAGGGAACAGGAGAACCTTTGTTGTTGCCCTACATGCTGGGACTGGCATTAAGGGCAGTAAGTAAGTACCCCTACAACATAAAAACGCCAACAGACCGTTACTTTTCCGCTATAATATAAATCTAAAGATGACTTATTACGAATTTTCAGGGCCTACCCGGCCTATGACTTTTGCTGGATACTGACATCTTTTGCGGAGGTAAAAAAATGATAGGGTAGCCTCGGCCTTCCAAATCAGTGACCATGACGCAGCGGATGAAGTTCCCACTACCCCCACAACATAAAAAACGCCACCACGCCTATTTATGTCTTATTTCATCAGAAAACGGCTGCTTTCCAATGGAACCCAGCATATTTGTACACAGGACAAGACATGATTACATTGACGCAAGCAACAAAAGGTGTACAACAGTCAATAAAATCCTATATGTCAAAACAAAAGTATAATGTTCATATACTTTTAAAGATGACTTAGTACGAATTTTTAGGGCCTACCTTATCGATGGGTGATTCTCTAGCTCTGCGCGGACAAGGCGCCAACTATCCCGCACTTGGCAATCTGACGGTCCGGCCTTCGCGCAGAACATAAAAACAAACTTTTAAACGTCGTTATGTATCTGTAGAAACCGCATTATGTGAACACAAGGGAGCTAATCACGGCATCTCCCCCGGTCTCGTGCTGGTACAAAACGTTCATTACCGTAACGATAATTCAATAAAGTCCCGTAACCTTTGTAAGGCCGTAGCAGCACTGGGCTCTCGGTCAACGGTCTCTCTGTTTGTTTGTCTGTCTCTC